GAAGTGTCTTTGACCAATCCATCAGGTAATGTGTAAAATTAGAATTAACCGGGAAAATGTTTTAAGTTTCATGGGAATTCTCATGGAATGCTCGCTCTGAAAGCGGAAAGCCAGGGTTCTCAGCTTTTCATGGGAAACGCATGTAGTGGCTGACATTAAAATACGAAATGGTTCTGCTTCGTGGCCTATATGGCTCTCTTTTATATTCTGTATTAAAATAAAAGGATAGATCTTAGGCCTTAGGGCGTTAATCAATCCCGTCAGAGGGATGCGCCCACGCATTCGACTCTCTTCAGCATCTAGTGAAGTATTGGATACATATGTGACCCATACAGCGTCTTTCGGTAGCCAGCCGATGTGAAAGTCAGGGCTTTTGCTCCCAGACCAGTTTGGTACCAATTAACCGATCAACTAATTGACCGAAATTTTGACAGAAATTGATGCAGGATTTCATTCTGCCCTGCGCCCTTTACCCCTACCCACCTCAGATAAGTTTAGCAATAGATAAATTTGAAAAATTATTATAGGCTTACTGAGCTATGAGGATTTTCACGACATTGATATGGGCACAGCATGCGGCTGCATGCAACGGTGTCCATTGTTCTGTATCCTGAGCGTTCACATCTGCACCGTGGCTCAATAACAACAGCATAATCTGCAATCATTCGGATCAATCAGATCACCTGAATCACGCGAAAAATAGTGAATCATGCTAGAAAAAAACGTGGTCTCAAAGTGGTTGCTTAGATGCCGTGGAATTTCTCTTGGAAGCCTTATTTAAAGCAACAAGAATGAACGATCAAACAAATTATTGCTGGTGACAACTCCTCTCAGGACGCCACAGTCACGGTATTAACAGATACCGTTCCGTCAAACGAAACAGTAATAAACATAGCTAACAGCTTAGAGTCAGCATTGGCAATGATGCAGCAACGGATAGCCGCGAGATATAGGCACCGATGTGCAGTGACGTCAAGGGGGAGAAGGGCAGTAGGAACGGTTTTGTGTAATCGTTCCGCCGCACGCGGCTGTCGCGGACCATTTGCCTCGTTATAACAGTTCTAGCGTTCTTCACACAGCTCAATCGTTATGCGATTATCACTTATGGCATGATTCTACTGTTAGTTCTTTCGCTCCTGAAGTTCTTACTTGCTGCTGCATTCTGATGCATTCCTTCGCGCGCGGCGTCTCTCTCGCGCGTCGCGACAATTTCGTTCCTACTGCACCACACCCGTCAGTAGGGAAGGCACACTCTAATAGCTGAAATAGGCCATACCTGCTGATTGTCATCGATAGCACATTGATGCAAAGGTGTGAGACCATCCTCGTTGTGCGAATTAGGATTCGCCCCCTCACGAAGTAACCTCTCAACTGAAACAAAAACATTTTGTGATCCGTTCTCTTGTACGGGAACGTGTTCATGTATTGGAAAGTTAGAGGGCGGCTCCACTCTGTTCTGTCGTGAAAATAGTGCTTATGTTGGTCTCCTCCATGCCCCTATTCAATTACCGCAACGACAAGTTTCCTATGCTGAATGAGAATCCCTTCATAGTGCGGCTACTCAACTTATCGTTTTCAAAGCAACGAAGGAAATATGGAATGAAAACAAAATTGGTGCATTGTAAAACATGATTCGACTGACCCTCAGCAGCATCGGCTCGTCCAGTTGCCTCTAACAGTGCAACTTCGGGCGAAAATCGTAACCGAGGACGACGTGGCCTGGGTGGTGGCAGCGACCGCTCTCGCTCGTCGCATTTGCGCAGCTGATCTCGACGACGCTCCCTAAAACGTCCATACTAGATCGTGCATTTCGAAAACCCAAGGAAAAAGTATAAACGCATATTATTCCAAAAATTGTTGCCTTTTTGGAAGGCACGTTCAATGAACAAGGGAATATTGTAGAACCTTCGATTGGAATTATATCTTTTTAACATCTACCCCAGAGCACCGTTACATTTTTTTTTGTTCTTTCATATTACATGATCAGGCCTTCTCTAGGCACTGACGACAATGCGGGAGATTACACGAGAAAAGGATTTGGGTCAAAAATTAAGGTCTCGGGAAACCTTTCAGCACACTTAAAAAGCATTCCTGGGAACCGTTAACTTTGCTTCTGCCTCGAGGTTGTTAGGTGGAAACGTATTCTGGCCAACGTTTCGACGGACTCGTTGTTTTCAAAGGCCTCACTTCCACCACGAAGAGTAGCACTACGCTACGCGGTTAGTACATTGAAGGCACAGTTCATGACAATTTTGGATAATCCAGATTATGATGAAGAATGGAAGACAAGATCGAAACTAGTGCGACTGAGGTGAAGAAACTGCGTGCATCGGTGTTTCCA